TCTCTCGAGAGAGAGAGGAAGGAAAGAAGGAAAAAAAATAGGTTGTCAGATTCCTCATTCATCTGAGAATAGTATTTGAGCATAATGGAGGATAGTGTTGAACATCCCATTTTATGGGCTGCTCCCTTCTATAAATCTCTCTTGTCAGTAGGGAAAGGAGAGTTTTTGCAGCACCCTGATAGCAGAGAGGAATTTTATTGCTGCTAAGGGGCTTCTGATGGAGACCTAGGGACTGTTTTCTCCTGTAGGTGTACAGCAGTTGAGCCTGGAGAACTTAACTGCTGAGTGCAGTTGGTGGCCCCAACCTTCCAGTCTCTGGCCTTTTATTCAGAATTCTTGCTGGGCTGTGGAGATTATGATTGAAAACATATCACATGGACTAAATGTGTGATCAGCTGTTGGGAATGACTTTGTGTAATTGTTTGGATGTCTCAGGGCTGCAGGTGGGTGGTTGAGCAGCTTGGACAGTGCTCGACTCCAAACGTGGGGCAGGGCCAGTGGAGGTTCTCGTTGTGGATATGGACAAGCACCTTCATCCAGTGTTCAGAAGGGGATTAGTGGTGACAAATGCTACTTTGAGCTCCTGGGCTGTGACATCCCAACCCATCAGAATCTGAAACCCTCCAAGTGTTATTAAGCAGACAAGGGATTATAGTGTCAGGTCAGCTGCTGGCCCTAGGACAGGGGTATCTCATGATGCTTTCACACCTTGCAGGAAGGGGTTTGCAGGCTGAGTGAGCTGGTGTGGTGCTGCAAGTGAGGTGTACAGCTGTGTGAACTGGTTAAGGAAGCTGCCACCTGGAAGGATATAGCTGCTTTTAATCAGAGCATCAGGCTTCAGCTAGTGCAGCACCATGTAACTCTGTCAGATCTCTAGCCCTGTGTCGTGAAACTCTGCCAACCTGGCTATTTCTGGAAGATGTTCCCCTCCAAGTACCCGCAAATCACAAGTATCAGAGCACTTGCCAGAGATGGAGGGTTATGATCATCTCTCTTGCTTTTGTGTTCCATAGCAGTGCCCCATCAGCACCAATAAAACTCCCCCCAGAGTAGTTTGGCTGCCAGCAATGAACATCACCAGGTCTATGGTGCACTGACTGAGATGCAGGTCAGGAACTGAGGGTACTTAACAACAAAAAGCCCCTTTAAAACAGAATTTGACTCAGTTAATTTTGTTTGTTTGTTTTTTAACACACATTTTCTCCCTGGTTAAGTGAAAAATATTTATAATGAAATTCAGCTGAAATTCTCAGAAATTTATCTGCTACATTTGCAACCCAAGTATTGCAGCAGCAGGAACCCGAGAATGCAACTGATTTGTCATTACAAGAGTTGAGAGAAACAGAAACAGCAAATAGCACTACAAAAATGACAAGCAAAAATACGATTATTATTCTTTCAGCCTCAGTCATGTAAAGAGCAAGCAGAACCATAGTAAGGCAATTTCCCTTAGATGTGACTTATGTTGATGGTGCTCTTCTATGAAATGCCTCTAATTTAACTCTTCCTTCTTACAAGACATGGTCAGTGGTATTACTTTTTACAGGAGTGTGTCCTGTCAGCTTCAGCCCAATATTTCACATGGTGCCACTGGAGACAGTTTTATTTCAAATGTACAAATAAATTCAGCTCAGTTCTGGTCTGGGATAGCTCTAATGTGCACAGTCTATTCTGTTCACAGCCTCAAAATTACTGCTAAGGCAGCCTGCAGGTAAAGGGCCAGAGTGATTTCAGTTAGTCAGGAAAGAAATTAATTGGAATGAAAGTCCTCGATGTCATCACAGTGCTGCTGGGCTCGCAGAGAGATATCTGAACACTCTGCTTGGAACCTGTTCCCTGCAGATAGCCACATCTGCAATTAAAAAGGGTTAATGCTCATTCTGTGAATCTTCCTCAGCGCTTTCTGCTTCAGCATGACTTTATTTTTCACTTTTCTTTCTGGAAGCCAAAGGGATTTTTTTTTTCTTTAGTATCATCAAGAACAGGAATAGAAACTTTGCAATAAGCTCAGAATGTTCTTTGGCTCAGCACATGGGAAAGAGATTTAGGGTTGGATTTCCTATTGCTTCACACTCACTCCTGCCTGCTAGCAGGGTAATGATTTTGTGGGCAGGCATTTTTCTTAATGAGCCATTGGCAAAACTGCCTGTTTCTCCTAATTTACTATTATATCTCCTCAGCTGGGTTCTGGAGGTAAACACTTCACCTTCCCGCACTGCCAGCTGCCAGGGAGACTCTGAACTCAAGTTCATCTTCTGAAAGACTCACTTTGCATTGTGAACAGAGAGAGCAGGGGGGTGAAGATGTTTATCACTTTCTGAGGGGTTTTATTACAGTGTTTGGGATGGATGGTCTGATTCCATGATTTTCTTGGCTACTGATCATAATCTCCTAACCTTCATAGTGATTAAAGATGAATATCCAGAAGCAGAGCAAAGTAAGGGAGCTTGTTGCCCCTTCGGAGTGGGAAAACAAGGCAGCATGGGGCTGCCAAAGGACTGGAGCCCGTGTTGGAGCCAGGACTTGCACAAGAGCTCTCTGACAGAGGTCCTTGTGCACTGTACCTCCCACTCGTGCTGCTGCTAGAGTGCTCTGTTCCTAGCAGCTGGTCTTGCAGCATTTTGTCATTGACTACACAACTGTGCTAACCCCAGATATTAATAGCAGAGAGATGTCCTCTGTTTTCAGCTGTTCAGCTGTGTCTCCAGTTGTCTGGGAGTTGATTCCTGCATGCAGCTGGGGAATTGTCATTGATCAGGTACTTCAGTCCGTGAGTTTGATGCCATAGGCTGACAGGGAAGGAGCAGCACATTGGAGGCTTTGACCTGGTCTGCAATGACAGGCCTGTCAGCAGAGGGGAGATCTGGGTGTTCTGGTGAATGAGAACATCATGGCAAATACACTTTTAGGTGCAGAATTCATCCAATGCTGGCAGGTGTCCTGCTCGGTCCTGAAGCTGTTGGCACAGGAAGGAAATACATCTTCACTGGGGAACAAGAATGGGTGTGTGAGCGCTTATGGAATTAGAAGACCAAAAAGACCAAATGTTTTCCAAAAATGACTCTGCAGTCGCTGTGGTGACTGTTTAGTGGACTCTTTCCTGAAGCTAGTTGTGTATTTTACTGATGGGAAGCAGTACTTGGGTTCTCCATACTTGGAGAAGCTGACACACATTGTACCTTTTGCCATGCACACCTCAGAGTGTCCACCATCATCTCTGGCTGTGGATTCTAACTAACAACACATGAGTAGAGCCTCACCTGAATGTGAAACACCACCTTGCCTCTACAAGCAGGAAGGTGCTGTATAACTTGCCTGTTAGTTTTCATTGTGGCTGCTGTGTCCTAGAAAGAAACAAATTAAGTAGCTTTTGAGGAAAACCGCTGCACAGCAGGAAGTGTGGTGCTGATCCCGAGTTTGGGGTGGGAGAAGCCCTCATAGATGAAATTCATTCTCCCCTCGTGTCAGACAGCAGCAGCTCCTACTTCTCTCTGGACACCACTGGCTCAGCACAAGGCACTGGCTCACTTGCTTCTGAGAGGTTCCCAGTTTGGAAGCTGCAGTGGGCTGGAATGAGGTATTTTAGCTGACACAGGGATGCTTGGCTGCTCAGCTGGCCCTCTGCACTGCAGAGCTTAGTACTGTTCCATGTAAGAAAACAGAGGGGCTAAACATATTCTGCACAGCAAAACAAAGCTTTTAGGGCAGGCAGGCACCTGATCCTCCTCCTGCTACTACTATGGAAACATGTCAGAGCAGAAAACCTGTTGCCATGAGACTGTAAAAATAACCATGCCATCACATTACAGAGACACGGACTGGCTGCACCACATGGGTTATGTAAGAGCAGCTCCAACACTGAGATGTGGCACTGTGAGCTGCCTCTTGCTCCCAGGAGACAGGCAAGCTTCTGAAAAAGCTGCAGGCAAGAGAGCTCAGGCAGTAAGCCTGTTATTTTTAGTCTGTGTATCTGAAATGTAAGCCTGAAGTGGACAGAGACACATTTAGGGTATGTAGCCTCAGCAGCAGAATTTTAAGTTAGACCAAGCAATGGTAGTTGAGTTTTTTGTTCTAAAGAAATCACACCTCAGTTTTAAGGGGTCAGATACAGGGTACTTTTTGGAACTGTGTCATTTTAAGCATGTTTAGAACTGGCCAGGGCAGAAGAAGGTCTTGCTAAGTTGGAAGGTGGTCAGGGAGCCAGGGAAATGGTAGTGCTGTGTTTGATGTTGTCATGGCTGGGAAAAAGGAAAAAGAGTAAGGGATCAGGCCCAGGTCTGTTGGTCAGGCAAGATTTGGCAGAACAGGTGAGCAACCTCAGGTCTGGAGAAAGGACAACAGCCATGTTTACAGTTCTGAAACTCTATCCAGAAATATATCTACAGAAGTTAAAAAAATTAAGGGCTTGGCTGGACCCAGACACTTCCCTGTATGCAGAAAAAAATCAAATTCACTGTAGTCATGTACTAATTATCACTAATTTTTTTAATCTTATGCTCTGGACAGAATTGAGCACTTAGGGAAGCACATTCAGAAGGGGGAGTGCAGAAAACAGTAAATTTTAAAACCCCTGCAGAAACTACTACTGGTTACATCAATTGTCCTTTTACTACAAGACAAACTCAGTAACTATTCCTGCTCAGCCCTCCTCAGGCTACTTTTAAAAACATATCCAAGTTTTATCCCTTCATCCAGTCCTGAAAGCCTTATTTCTGTCGTCTCTTGCCTTCCAACAGTGGAATATTTTCCCAGCAAGACTAAAAGATGCTGCCTCCTCCTGCTCCTCCCTATACATCCTTAGAGATTCCTGACGTGCCTCAGATGTACAGCTTTGCTTTGTTTGAATGCCACGGGCGTGCACAACTCCTCTTCTGTGCTTCAGGCATGTGGAGGATTCCCAATCCCTCCTACTCCTGTTCTGAGTATGACAAAGGAGCAGCTCTGAAGCCAAACCCCAGAAATGTTCACATAAACCCTCAACAAGGAACATACACATGGAGTCAGGAATGTCCCACTGCTCTGATTTTAATGATCCCACTTCCACCCCAGCCATGGGCCTTTCCAACCCCCAGTGCTCTGTCCATCACAGCTCTGCCACCTGAGGTCCAGCACAGAGCAGGGTTTGTGATCCAAAGAAACTGCAGAGTTGTAGCCGAGGAGCCACCTCAGCTGGGTGGGCTCTGGACACACCAATGTCCTGCAAACCCCAAGGACTGTGGCTATTGAAACATGAGCCCACAGTGACAGCCAAACACGCTGTGGCAATGGCACGGCCACCTCAGCCCTCCAGGATGCGGTTGATGAGCTTCATTTCCTCAGCAGACATGGGATTCAGGTTAAACCCCTTCAGCTCAGGTTTACCTGAGAAAACACATGGAAAACATAAGGATTTTGTCACAAAAGAAGTGAAGCAGTTCATGGTAAACTCGGAGGGCTGTGGGGAGGGCAGGGACAGCCCTGGAAGCTGAAGTGGGGTCACCCTAGCACAGTGCCAGAGGGGATTTAGGGTGCTGATGGGTGACAGCTCCACACGGAGACAGACAACACTGCTGGGGCAGGGAGGGAACTGCAAAACCGGTGGAAAAGAGGCTGCAGGAACACATGGAACTAAGGAATTTCTGGACCCTCCTGATACGCGAGTCTACTCCCAAGCACTGAGCAGGTTCCAGAGTGGGAGCATTTACCTTGAGCTTCATAGAGCCGGTTGACCTTCACCCGCAGCTCTTTCCGGAGATTGTTTATCTCCTCATCCAGCTCTTGCTGATCTGGGATAAGAGGGGGAAGTGAGGAGGACTGCGGTGGGCTCTGGGATAAAGCCCAATTTCCCATGGGACACAGCAGAGGCACAGAGGCCCTGCCTCCACTACCCCTGGGGCCAAGCAGTTTCCACATGTGCTTTTCAGGTTTTGGGAACCTCAAAACCGATCCCTGGACAGAATTCCGTTAATTGAGCCAACATCTTTTTAATTATGGTGCTTCTTAAAACGCTTATAGCTACATGGAGCCCTCGGGGTGACCTCACCCTGTTGCAGCATCTCCCGGGTCTTCGCCTTCGGCAGCTCGATGAACATGTTCCCGAAGCAAACCATGGCCTTGTCTGGAGGAGAGAAGGGAAGAGGAAGGGAAGGGAAGGGAAGGGAAGGGAAGGGAAGGGGCTGTCAGCGGAGCCGCTGCCCGACCCGCGGCCACGAGCTCACGTTGGGCGCAGCCAGCCCGGCCTCACCGTCAGGCTCCGGGTCCTTATGCAGCGCCCGCAGGGCCTCGCGGTTGCGGTTCCGCTTCACGTCCAGGTCCACGATCTGCAACGGGAGCGAGAGACGCAGGAGCGGCCGGGGCTCGGGGCTGCCGGCGGCGGGACAGAGCGGGGCGGGGGAGGCCAGCCGGAGCTGGGTCGTACCTGCTGCCGTGCCGCTAGCACGTCCTCGGCCAGCTCCTCCACTTCGGCCAGGTAGCGCAGCACGAAGGCCGGGTCCCGGGCCATGGCGGGGCCGAGCGGGGCGGGGGCCGAGCCTCCACCGCGGCCGCTCTGGGTCCGCCGCCGTTCGGCTCCGGGCCGCAGCCGCGGCCGCGCGGGCGGGTTCCGCGGCGGGAGCGGCCGGGGCCAGCGCGCCCTCTCGCGGCCGCCGCCGGGAGCGCTGCCCGGTTTGGAGACCCCGGGGTCGCGGCGGCTCCGGTGCGGGGCGGAGCGGCGGGGACAGACCGGGGCTGCCAACACGCGTGGCCGGGGTCACGAGAGGGGCCGTGAGTGGCCACGGGCTGGGAGGGAGGTGCCCGCCGCCCCGGCGCCAGCGTGGGACCTCGTCCGTGGTGTGGACTAGCGGTCCCGGAATTGGCTCCGGGCTGCCTCTGTGCCCACGGGCCTCACCGCCCGGCGAGAGGATGGAGGATTTAGTGTGGCCGTGTGGCGCTGAGCCCCAGAGTGGAGGTCCTGGCCCCGTAGCCGGCCCCCAACCCACCCCGCTCGCCACAGCCCGGAGGGACAGTGGGCTGAGAGCCCTGCCTTGCCCGGTCCCCTTGTGTGTGAATTATTTATAACATTTCACAGCCCGACCCCTCGCCCCCAGCACCACCGTCTGTCTCCTCTTCCTCGCTGTTTCCCAGCACGGTACCGCTGTTGGCAGCTGGGCCCTTGGAGCATCAGGTCCTCTGTCATCCCAGAACGCAATAAAGGGCACTCAAAGCACGAGGCGATGAGCTCAAGTTTCATTTCGTGCAGCTGGTGGCTCATCTGTAGCTCAGCATCCAGGACCTGCCATCCCCAGGGACTGGAGCCAATTGTGGTCGCGGCAGCTTGACTCACCCTCAGCCAGCCCCGGTGCCCCCAGTCTGTGTCAGGCAGGGGCTGGTCCCGGGAATGCTCTGGCAAGGCACCATATCCATCTGGTGCCCTGAATGACCCTGCTGGCAGGAAGGGAAATATATTGCCCCTTAAAACGGTTTTTATCCCTTTCTTTCTGCCCCACCCAGCCATGAGCAAGAGGAGCTGGAAAAATGGGATGTGGGAGATGCAGGGAGACACAGCACTGATGATGAGGACTGGCAGATCCTCACCGTGTGCTCTCTGCAATGGGAAAGGGGCCTCAGGAGCCCATGCAGGGCTGGTGGGTAACAGGGGACACAGATTCTCATGTCCCATGTCCCTATTCTGGACAGAGCTCTGAACCAGTATCTCAAGTTTCCGAATTCAGCCCTGTCCCCAGCTGTCCATCTCTGCCACCCTGGCTGTGGCACTCGGCTGCTGCTTACCTGGTGATGGTGAGGGGATCTCTGATCTGTTTTAGATCAGTGCTTTGGAGGGAGGGAGCCCCAGTAACCTGCCTGAAGCAGCAAACAGGGGCTGGGGAGAGGAGGAGCCCCAGCACTTGGGGCCCTGACACATGCACTTCATGAAACTCATTTGACAAGGAGCTCCCCAAAGATGGTAGAGCTGCCAGAGATGAGGACCACAGGGGACAGGGATGGAGGGAGCACATCAGTGGCTGGCTGGTGGTCACCACACTTCTGTGGGCAAATAATCCCTTAAGAGAGATTACCCGGATTGGAAGATTACTGGCCCTAATCCCATAAGGTAATTTGTTTCAGTTAACTGAGATCTCTGTCTGTGGCAGCATCGAATGAAGTGCAGCAGCTTCAGGGGAGCAGTAGGAACGAGTGCTGGGGCACACACAGGCACTCCAGGCTGGGAACGATCCACACTCGGGTTAGATTCCTTCCTGACATCAACCAGAAAATGTACTGGGATTGGGGCTGGATGCCAATGCTGGGAAATGCTCATTTGTCGGTGAGAGCAGCTGGCTGAAGATCTGAAAAAG